GTTTCCCCATCTCAAACCTTCCACCTTACCGTGGAATCTTCTTTCAAGGGCACGAACTGAAGAATGAAGAATTAGAATAATACATTCAACTAATTGAATTGCCCGGTGAATTCGGTTCAAAGTTTCCTACGATACAAATCTGCTCAGTTCGGAGCTGGTATCAAGAACCCCTTGAAGAAAACAGTGTGCGATGCGGAATTGATGTAATTTCCAGTAGGAGTGTATAATAAGAGCCACGTTTGATTGATCTTAGGCGTCCCTTACCCTTCTTTTGAAATCTTATACATTATTCAAGTTATTTTTTCGATGACTTTACAAGATCGGTACAAACCCTTGTGGATAAGTGAGGGTGTTTTTTGGATCGAGTGAATTGCGCTTTTGTTTGCGTTTCTCGTCGTATTTTCGCATCTAGTGTTGGCGGTAACCTCTTATTGTCGGGGTAAATTTGCTTCTACTCGCGAAGCCGAGAGCGATTAAGCAAACGAGGAATGAGGTTGTCTTTGAGCAAAGTGCAGTCTGAGGTTACTTGCCGTTTCACCTGCAATTTTACCGAAATTACGCGAATGGCTGAAAATTCGGCGGATATGGCTCAGTAATATCGCGACAGTTCAACTTCTATACTGCGACGAGTACTCGCACAAAGTTTGCCCTCTCCTTGGAATAGCTACGCCGGAACGATGGTAGTTTATGGCTACTAATGGATCTGATACTCTATTAGCATCTTCGGTACGGAGTTGACCGATCAATGCCGGCCCATTCAACCATCATTGCCTTATGTTGTTATTTATTTTTGGGAACCTTATGCATGTCACCGAATCTAGTTAAGGGAAGTAAGTTTCTGTCTGAAATGTTTTCTTGGAGGAGGTTTCGCAAGCATGTCGTCGCTGGCGTCCGTGACAACAAGTTTATTCCCACTGAACAATGCCCTGTGGGTAAGAAGCATAATTGCCGTCGGTCTCGGCATTTCGCCTAGGTTTACTATTCGTAGAAGACCTTGCAGGGGAACCCAGCTAAAGTCCCCGTTCAAGCTCCGTGGATAATCTCCTTTTATAAGGAATGTCTGTCAAGATGGAGCTATTAATTCAACAAGTGACCAGTTGCTCTATCTGTGAACCGGCAAGATTTAAAAGTGGTGCTCTCAAGATTTTTGACGGCTATCCGGTATTGTGAGGCTGTTCTCAACGAAACTGAAGGGAATAGCGACGTAACAAAGCTAAATTACATTTCCCGTCACTTCTCAGGCTTGCCTTCGGGCGTTCACGTAAACATATCCGATATTGTACTTCTTTGTAGTCTTCCGGGTGACTTCAAGATACCTTGGGGTAGATGTACTCTTAACAAAGGCTGAGCAGATGTTTCTAAGCGTTTGCCACGATAAGGAGGTCAAATCCCTGATTGAGTTCTGTCCAAGACCCAAGCTTTCCACCCCTCCAGTGTCGCTCACTTAATATTAGGTTGGAAAGAAAGTTCTGCAACACTCTTTCTAAAATTTTTTTTTTCTGAAAAATTCATAGGTAACATTTATGACTAACAAATGGTAGAGCATTCTCGAGGCTTCAATCCACGAGGTGGATATAAGTGCTGCAATCCAAGAAAATTCAAAAAACCTCGACCACTAGTAAATCCATACTCCGAGTCACTGTCTAGTACAAATGTCTCCATAACTATGGATTCGTGTCAACGACCGACACTATCTGCAATAGCTTCAATAGGCATGCCGTTCACCGCTACAGCGTGTTTCACCTTTACCAGCGCTTTCGATCTTTTGATATTTTTATAAGAAGCCAGCAGCGTCCCTACACTCCATTACAGGTAGGGCTCTTACGGAAGCTCCACTACAAATTCTTCGTTATGGGCACCATTGTGTAGGTAGAGGTCTAGGCTGCGAAACTCCAGAAGTTGGCCGAGGCAGCTCGTCATCTCGTCACCAGGAGTGTCCACCACTTGTCTTCAACGCTCAGAAAATTTCTTGATGCTCCTTTTCCAAAACCCAGCGGAGACGGGTCGAGAAAGGAGGCGACCTCACTTTCGAGTTGGAGTTGATCGTCTAATTATTTCGTCATCAAGATGATGATTTAAGGTCCAGGATAGGTGGCAGTCATTTATAGCTCGACCAGGGGAATACGCTAAGAGAGGTAAGAAATCTTGCCGCAGCTCCAGAATTTCTTAGCGGGCTCATTTCAGATTCGCAATGTCATAAAAGAAATAGACCATGGTAGGTATAAGACCGGTCAGAAATTGAAAACAAAAAAGATAAAATTAAAATCAAAAATTTGAAAAAGTGTTGCAGGACTTTCTTTCCAGCCTAATACATTTGGCTAGTTGGATACGAACGCAGACGTGTTTATTGGTTGGGCTTGCAAGTCGTTGTTTAGGTCAAACGAACCCTTTCACACTAGGTTTTTGAATTGAAGCAGATTGCGTGGCTCATCCTTGAAACGGACTGCTGAAGGACATATGCTTAATGGTTCGCTTTTTACTCTGTCACTAACCGCTTGTTGCGCATTAGTATATGCGCCAGTGTGCTTTCGAGGCGTCGGTCGCGGATGACAGCAATAAGTGGATTTGCAATGCAATGTACGGAGTAGGCGGCCATTTCGATTCCCATGATAGAGTCGACCTCCTGAAATCAGAAATCCCTACTCTCAGCAGTGTTTCACGAGCGAAGCCAGTCTAATCGGCAACCTTTGGATTTTTCTTTGACTCCCACAGTACCATCATTACGATAATAATGAAGGATAAACTATTGAGTAATAACCATAGTGCAGCTGTAGCGGATTCTTCAAGCATCCGTATTCGTTCAGAATCCTGAAACGATGTATTTTCATCCTGCACGACATCGTAAACTTTGTCGTACATGAGTTTTCTTCACTAACAAGGACTGGATGATCGGTCGAAGCGAACATGCGACTGCCTAAAGTGTTGGATGTGTTTTTGAACGCTGACGTCGATGCTTTTCAAATCTGCCAAGCGATTTTCTGAACGGAGTTATGAGAGCGAAATAGAGCAGCTTCACGATCCGAGCTCACGGGTGAGAAGTCGTGGGATCGATCCCTGACAAATTTTCTCTTCTGCCTACGCAGCAACATGATTGAAAAAGGCTCTTAACAAGTTTCTCGGTCGACGCTGCCATAATTACCCATACAAAGACTGCGAGAGTTCCTGCAAGTTTTTGCGCCACTAGGTAAAGACTGATGGAGCCCGCAGAACTTTTGACAGACATTTGGCTTTTGTTTTCGCAGCAGGCAAGTGTGATATTCGTGCTCAAGAGATAAAAATACCCCTAGGGCAAATTACTAGCCAAATCACCCTTTCAAACAATCAATCCTACGACCTTTCGCCCATGAACACAGATCACTACCGCTGCTCTGTTTTGCTTCATAAGTCCGTTTAGAAAACCGAAGGCAAATTCGGAAGATCAGCACCACCAGCAGTGTATGTCTCATTGCTATGGCCACTTTAACCCCTCATCCTTTCCTGGTAAGTAATCCCCAGAAACACTTCACTATCCCTGCAAACTTCACCAATTGATTCATGGAACTAGTTGTAGGCCCCACTTACCACACAATTAGTGGTCACGTCGAAAGAATGTCGCGTTTGCCATTGATGTGTGAAGAGGGCAGAAGCCACAAAAAGTGATTGACGGAAGTGACATAAGCATCAACTTGACTCACCTGAGATTGAGACCGAGTTCGACTGAGTAGAATGAGGTTCAGTGGGTGGACTATGAGATTGAGAAGGAGGAATACAGACAGGAGGGCGAGATGAAATGGTATGGCAAGAACGAGTGATCGTGAGGTTCGGACGAGAAG